ATGCCCAGTCCGAGAGCACCCTTGAAAACCCCACTTAGTCGGGGCCGCTCAAGTCCCTTGTGCTCCCTGACCTCTGGCGTCTTTCTTTGAGTGAGGGCCAAGCGGGCTTCCACGGCGCTAAGTGCTATTGGTTTTAAAGGTTTACAAAATAAACACTGAAGCTGCCTTCGGTCTCGCCCACGATTGGGGAGGGGTGGGGGTGAGGGTGAGGTAGGGAAATCGGGCACGTTCCCTGCAGTGCGACAGGGATCCCCACTTGAGGAACCGGGAAGGCTCAGCGGGGACGCTGCGGTCCTCCCAGGAAAAGTTCTCTCCCTTTCCTAACTCGGGAAATGGCATCAGGGATAGTGCCCAACTGCCGAACGAGGAGCGCCGGAAAAACGGCGTGGAGCCAACCTTCCGGCTGCAATGCAAAGATAAGGGTATTAAGCTTTAAAACGTATCCTGCTCGCTCTGGACAGGGACTGAACCCTGGAGTGGCGGCTCGGAGATTCTTCATCCCTTCCTGAGACGCGTGGGGACGGGCGCCTGACTCAAGCGTGCTTTGGTTCAGCAGGCAAGGAGGGCTGCAAGCCCGGGTAGACAAAAAACAACAAAACGGGGTGGGGTGGACAAATATGAGATGGAGGACGTGGGGCTGATGAGCTTGTAGGTTAAAAATCCATTTTTGTTTAATACCAAGATCAGCTTAACGATGGGATTTGTCAAATGGACAAATGGCCCATTTGTCTATTTTATCCTGATTAAAAGAAGTTACTGGCCAGACAAGAGAGCCAAAGCTGGAGAGCAGGAAAGACTGAAAAGAGGACCAATTGAAAAAGCAATTGGGGGTAGGGCATATAACTTGTAACATTACTTAAAAGAATAAAAATTATGACAACCAACCCTCCCTCTCCTCCACGCACACTAGAGCAACGTGAATTTAATGAGAGTTGGTCCCTACATTGCCCATGAATGAATTCACGTGGTAGCACAGATCTCCAATGCCATGTTTTAAAGAGAATTGTGTGCATTATTAATTGAGCCTGTTTGTGTAATAAATCTGGAATAGCACTGATAAATCAAGATTTTTCAGGTGAGAGCAGCTTGATTCAGATGAGCTTCAGTTTCTTGAAAAGTTGAATTTTACCCTAAAAAGATCATACAGCCTTAAATGCTTCATGAAAGCATTCCTCACTGGGAGCTCCCCGGGGACAGGCAGAAGTTGAGATTTTTCTCAAGTCAGGCAACACTTCCTGGGATTCTCAAAAAACTTGGTCTCTAAGTCTTCATTTTTACAGTTAGAATGGTTAATACAGAGAAATAGAATTCGAGTTACTCAGAGGAATAATTTTTAAATGACAAATAAATAAGGTTTTTGCAGTGTTTTACTATCATCTTATTCAAAGGAAACCATGAAGGTGAAAGACTGTTACAAAAACAGTCTAAAAAAATAGTGACTTTCAAAATGGAAGCAGAAGGTTATGTTATAGCTGCAGGCGCATCACAGAAACATCATGCAAAGATACACAGTATAAATAGACTAAATGCACTCAAAATCTACAGCCAAGTTTATTTCTCTATTTGAGTACCTGATTTTTGGGATTCTGCACATTTGTCAAGGGGAAAGGAGTTGTAAAAAGGGCGGGTTCACTTAGCTTGGAAAAGAGAAAACTAAGAGTTCACCTTAATAATGGTATGAGGTGTGGCCTTATTTTGTGGAGGATAACTTTTTATCTTTCTAGCATCCCTTCACCTTCTCCTACCTAGTCTACTCTTTCAACCAGAAGGTAAATTCCACGAGGGCAGAAATTTTGCCTTTGTCACTGCTTTTTTTAGTTCCTAGAACCCTGCTTGACACTTGCTTGGCATTCAAAATTTTTGATGAATGAATTCATAAATAGAGAACCTATTCTAGGCTTACTCCACCTGAGTCTTCTGGTTGCCATCCTGCTCTCTGTACTTCAAAAGCTTCTGTGAAAGGTGGAGGGGAAGAGAGGGAAAGAGAAGCCCTGCAAACATTATTTGAGTCCTGGATCCAGGAGAGCCTGAAGGCCACTGCACAATATACTTCCTTTTAAATGACATCCTCCACTCCCTCCCTTTTCTTGGCCCAAATGATTTTGAGTGTGTTTATGTCACTTGTGCTGACAGAGTCCTAGTATATAACGATGGTAAGAGTAAACATGTATTGGGACGTAATGATGTGCCAGAGACAGTACTCTGTGTTTTACAGGCATTATTTCATTTACTGCTCACCATAACCTGTGACAGTGTACAATCCTATACTCCAGATGGTAACTGTGTTCCAAATTATTTGAAAATGGAATGAGACTAACTTAGCTTGAGGCTCCATTTGAAGGATTTAGATTATATAGAAGAAAGACATTTCTGGGGGAAATGTGTGTGTAGGGGGGAACAGCTGTAATGCTTTCAACAATAAAGATAAATTAAAAAAAAATTTCTGACAGGGTGGTTCCAGCCTGGAATGGATTGCTAAGACAGATGGTTGAGTTGCCTTCTCAGGAGTTTAAAATAGGACAGATAGGTTTTCCTCTGGCCTTTCCCACATGGCACAATCTATTGGTATTTTTGACCATTTAGTGACGACTCCAACAGACAGTAGAAAGTGGATTGATGTTTGATGTATGAATCTAGTGTGTTGAAGGTGGGTCATGGGAGTGTCTGACTGGGTTTGGAAGTAACTCCCACCTGGGAGCAGGGATTTGAGTAGATGAAATCTCTGGTGTTCTTCTGGCCCTTTGGTTTACAAAATATCTCAGGTTGCACTAAAAAAGTTAAGAAGTTAGAGATATGAGACAAGAAATTGTTACAGCACTAGGCTGATAATTCTGAGTCATTTACTAATAATGAACACTTTAATAGCACTTTCTATCTTGTGAAGGGCTTTCATATGCCATATCCCATTAGATCATAGCATGCATCCTGCAATCAGGTGTAGTTGGAACACCATTTGATAGCTAATGCTGGCTCTTTTGTAACCCGGGGGCACATTAGTGTTCTTCAGAGACAGTGCTCACTGGGGTCTCTAGCTCTGCAGGAGCACACTGGACAGTGCACACTGGAGCTCTCTGTTAAGGTGTCCTCACCCTGGGCTGGCAATTTTGGTAGGGTTTTACAATGTGGCAGGAGTCTTGGCCCATAGATAACACACACCTTTGCCCACTCCAATCCTGCAACAGCCTCTTCTTTTGGCCTGCTCCAGCTGATTTATTAAATTGCCCAAGATTTATGGTAGAACCATATCTCACCCAGTACTGTGTTTCTCACTGTATGGAGACTCAAGCTCCAGCGCCTGTGCTCTCTGAACTCCAGGAGGCATATGGCGACTTGTGGCTTTGTTCTTTGGAAGCTACATAGACTAGTACTGGATGGGAGGGGGTGGGGGTTTGGAGGCGGTACAATACCCACATGCCCTCCCCAAGGACTTCACTGATAAGCTCTTTTAAAAATTTTTTAGTTGAGATAAAATTCACCATTTGATCATTTTAAAGTATTCTATTTAGTGATTTTAATATACTCTCATTATTGTGGAACTATCACCACTCATTTCAGAATAATTTCATCACTCCCAAAAGAAGCCCTATACTCAGCAAGCAGTCACTCCCATTTCCTGGCCCCACTTCTCAGCCCCTGGCAACCACTATCCTACTTTCTGTCACTATGGATTTGCCTGTTCTGGACACTTCATACAAATGGAATCATACAACATGTGGCCTTTGTGTCTGGCCTCTTTCACTTAGCAAGATGTTTTCAAGGTTCGGCTTGTGTTCTTCGGCTAAATGTTGTAGAACCAGCTGGGGTCATCCCCTTGAAAGTCCTGCACAGCTGGTATAGCTACACTTGAGCTTAGAATGTGGGCATCTACCCCTTATCATTGTCAGTCTCGGCCCAAAGTCCCATTTACCCAGAGTCTTCAATT